ATGCACCCTACATATAAACTCTAGACTCTAGACCCTAATCCCCACATCTTGTAATCCCTAAACCCTAAACCCTAAACCTCACAAAACCCTAAATCCTAACAATCCAAAAAAACCTTAAACCAACCCTAAACACCCTTAAACAAAACCAAAAAAACCCTAGAAAAACCCAAATAACCTAAACAAAACCCTCAGGACCCCTGACAGCCCTAAAAACCCTAAAAGCCTTAAAACAAAAAACGCCTAAAACAAACATTCATTAAAAACAAACAGTAAAACCCTCAGGACCCAAACGCCGCCTCAGGAACGCCATTGGACCGACTCCTCAGAGCGAGTCGCATCAGCTCCTCCTTCGAGTCGGGCTTAGGGCTTAGGGCTTATAGGGTTTAGGGTTTAGGGTTTAGGGTTTAGGGTTTAGGGTTTAGGACTTGGGGTTTGGGGTTTAGGGCCCTTGTACTACCTTAAGGGACTTACAAAGGGTCTCCAACACCCCGGCGGAGCACCAAGACGCGACTCGTGGTACCGAAACTTCGAAGAGGAAGAGGATTAGTCGACCGCGGGGGGAGCCCGGCGGTTTAGGGTTTAGGGTTTAGGGTTTAGGGTTTAGGGTTTAGGGTTTAGGGTTTAGGGTTTAGGGTTTAGGGAGCCCGCGGCTTGGGGCTTGGGGCTTCTTGAGGTTTTTGATGCTTAGGCAATGCTTAGAGCAACACAATTTCAGGGTAATAGGGTTTAGGGTTGTAAGCCATTACGGTTCTAGCAGCACCATGAGTAACGTTTTAGCCATTCGATCTACCAGTTACCCTGCAGCCTGCCCCTTAAACTATACCCTAAACTAAACTCTAATTTAAGCACCCGCGGACATCTAAGCGAGGTACCGATGAACCCCAAGCCGTCTAGGCCTTTGGGGCGTAAGGTTGGAGGATGGCCCTAAACCCTAAACCCTAAACCATAAACCCTAAACCCCAAACCCCAAAGCCTAAACCCTGAACCCTAAACCCCAAACCCTAAACCCTAAACCCTGAGCCCCAGTTTAAGGTCCGGGTTTAGGGCAAGTCTGGGTTAAGGGTGCGTGCAGGCTTCTCATGGCTTTTGGGTACCTTCATTGAAGATAAGGACAGGCCAAGCTCTGCATCTCAAACAATACCAGGAATATGTAGCTTAGGCAGTTTCGGGTTGAAATTTACGAGTAGGGTTTAGGGGTTCGATTAACCTGCACTTACCCCCCACAAGATAGGACACCATGAAAAGTGGAGACCCTAACCCTAAACCCTAAACCCTATTGGCGGAATCTGTAAGCAACCGGCGGACCTTGATGTTAACCTCCATCCTGTTGGCCGTGTTGTCGATGCCAGTCAGCTTTCCTAGAGCCACAAACCCAAAGCCACGGTTTAGGGTTTAGGGTTTAGGGTTTTGGGTTTAGGCTCTAAACTCTAAGCCCGAAGCCCAAAACCAAAACCCAAAACCTAAACTCCAAACGCTAAACCCTACGCCCAAAACCCCAAACACAAACTCCAAAAACCCAAAACCCCTAAACCCTTAGCCCAAAACAATCTTAAACCAACTCTTGACCCTAACCTCAGCGGCTAGGAGCACAGGCCTACAAGTTCTTCGCTGAGGACAAGGTAGGGGGCAGAGCCCCAAACCCTAAACCCTAAACCCTTGTTTAGGGTTTAGTAGGGTTTCGGGTTTTGACTTTGCGGTCTAGTAGGGTTGAGTAGTGGTTGGGTATTGGGGTTCACGCAAGAGCGCGGTTTGGGGCAGGTAGGTGTGCGGAAAGTGGCTGTTGGCCGTTGGCTTAAATGTTGAAGGAGCAGAGGTAAGCCCTAAACCCTAAACCCTAAACCCTAAACCCTGTTTCGTGGTGGGGATGCCTGAATTTGACCGGCCAGAGATGCAAACGCGGAGGTCATCGGCTTGGGGCTTACTTGGAGGTTTATGGGGTACTTATAGGGTTTAGGGTTTTAGGGTTTGGGGTTTAGGGTTTAGGGGTTTAGGGTTTAGGGTTTAGGGTTTAGGGGTACTTAGAAGTAGGGTGATAAAGGTACCGAGGCCTCATGTGAACTTCGTGCTATCACGGCCAAGTCCCACGACAAAGGCATCTAGTTCAAGGCAAGTGACGCTGCATCTGGTTCATCATGACCTTCGAAAGCCAGGTTTAGGGTTTAGGGTCTAGGGTTTAGGCATTAGGGTTTAGGGTTTAGGGTTTAGGACTAGGGTTCAGGGTTTAGGGTTGAGGGTTTAGGGAAATCAACTCCGGTTTAGGGTTGAACTCTGAACCCTAAGAAGCCTAAACACAGCAGTCTCATCGCGTTGGGCGAGTCGGGGTCCGCCTGGTTGTTGCTGCATCTGGGTTTAGGGTTTAGGGTTTGGGGTTTAGGGTTTAGGGTTTAGGGTTCGGGTCTAGGGTCTAGGGTCTAGGGTGTAGGGTGTAGGGTGTAGGGTGTAGGGTTGAAGGTCTGGGATTGATAGGGCTTTGGGTTACTTCGATAGAACCCCCTTCAAAACCCGACCAAAGAAATAGAGACATCCTTTGACTAACGAAACCCCCCCCTCCCTACTAGCTAAGTCCTAAACCCAAGAGCAACCTAGGAAGAAAAAGGGTGCCCTTTTTGGTTTAAAGGGGCTGATAAGGGAGCCTAAACCCTGAGAACAAGGGAATAAGGACCTGCTCTGGGTCCTAAGGCCAAAAGGTCCCAAAAAAAACCCTAAGCCCTACAACCTAAACCCTAAACCCTGAACCCTAAGCCCTAAACTCTAAACCCTAAACCCCAAACCCTGAATCCTCACCGGCGTGCAACATATCATCCAAGTGGCGTTCTCCAAGAAGATGGCCATGATCAGGTTGAACCTGGATCAAGGATGGCCCGTACCCCATACCCTAAACCTTAACCCCTAAACCCTGAACCCTAAACCCTAAACCCTAAACCCTGAACCCTAAACCCTAAACCCTTCTTGCCAGGATTAAGGGGTAGAAGGAGGGACCCCTAGAAGGGACCCTTAATCTTATTCCCCTATATACACATATATATATATAAACACACACACCCAAATTCGTCCCTATCTACCTAAGAAGCCCCTAAATGAACCCCCCCCCCCCATAACTAACCATGCACCTCTCAGCTTCAGGGGTTTGGGGTTTAGGGCTTTTAGAGTTTAGGATTTGGGGCTCTTGGAACTGCTAGGATGGCCCGTGAAACACCCTTTAGGGTTTAGGGTTCAGGGTTTAGGGCTTAGGGTTCAGGGTTTAGGGTTTCCTGAATGTGATCCTCTTAAACCCAATAAGGGAAGATAGAACATGTCCCAGGGGCCTCATGAGTGATTAGGTTGAGGGTTTGAGGGCTTGAGGGTATTGGGGATGTTAAGGGCTTTACGCTTCAGGGTGTTAGGGCTTGGGGTCGAGCCCTGTAAACCCGAATGACCCCAAATTCTCAATCCAGCACGCTCCTCCTTCCATGTGCTGCTTTCGGTCAGTCAAAGCTTGAACCATAGCCTGAGCATATGAACGGACGTTGAAGCATCGGAATGATCCTCCGAGCAAAGCTCTGTCCTGATGCGCTATTCCAGTCTGCAGTTGGACCGCCCAAAGCTGAGATGGCCCGCCGCCAGCCAACGCAAAAGTGCGCCCAAGATGCTGCGGGCAGTCTTTGGGGCATGATCCTGCATCATGCGCAAGTCGGGGCTGCAGCGAAGCTTGAAGCCACTTGGCGGCGGATATGAAAATGCCTGGTGTCCCACAAGCTGCAAACTGCAAAGTTGTTGAAGCTAAAGCGTGTCACATCGCCGCACCACCCCGCACATGTCATTTGGAAACGGTTTAAGCAGTGCAAATGCATTTTAACAGTGTCTTCGCCAACCTATGACTGCGCACGATGGTGTCGGCGGTGCAGTGATCCAAATAGCGGGCCGGAGTTCTTCACAGGCTTGCCGAAAAGGACCCTAAACCCTAAACCCTAAACCCTAAACCCTAAACCCTAAACCCTAAACCCTAAACCCTAAACCCTAAACCCTAAACCTACGGGTGGAGCTGAGCCCTCTGCACGCCAAGGCAGACCAGCATGTACATGCAGGTGTAGCCTACCTGAGCTGTAGATGGCGGGGGCTTTGGGCATAGGCACTATAGACCATAAAACCTCATCCCCCGAACCTAAATCTTGAAACTGCCGGAGGACTAAGCCTAAAGATCACTGCATGCACTTTTTCTTGTGCTTTGCTAGGTTCCCAAATTGCAGGGGAGTCAAGGCCCAAATTTTTGCGGGAGGGGGGGGGGGGGGGGGGGACCCCTATATAGCCAAGATACGCTAGTCCTTATGCTAGGAACCCCACCCCCCCCCCCCCCCCCCTTCCAAGAAAAGAAAAAAACTATAAAATAAAAACAAACCAAAAAATGCAAATAATAATGAATATATAGAAAGGGCACACCCATTTTGTACTTCTCAAGCCCTGAAATGGACCAGAACCCAGGAAAAAACACCGACTGTTTGGGGTTTATGCGACTTCCGTGTCACTTCACGAGGTGGTGGCATTCGGGCCTCGTTTGGGTGATCAAACCCTAATCACATATTTACTTGCTTAAGAACCCCCCCCAAACACGAAACATATTCTCACATTCAGGGCATAAAGGGACTTTGCAACTCGGAGGTTAATGGGTAGTTATCAGTAGGTTAGGGTTTAGGGTTTAGGGTTTAGGGTTTAGGGTTTAGGGTTTAGGGTTTAGGGTTTAGGGTTTAGGGTTTAGGGTTTAGGGTTTAGGGTTTAGGGTTTAGGGTTTAGGGTTTAGGGTTTAGGGTTTAGGGTTCAGGGTTCAGGGTTCAGGGCTTAGGGTCTTTATTTTTGTAATGTCAAAAACTATACATGCATTAATGAATTGTTCATTAATAAATAACAGATCAAATGCTCTAATCAAGAAAAATACTGAGATATTTTCAAACAATTAAACCATTTATTTTATTTAGGTTATTTAGGTTATTTAGGTCTAGGGTCTAGGGTTTAGCATCGCTTTGGCTCTAGCCCGGCATCGAGATCCTGTCAGAAGAAGATTGGACAGTAGACAGTAGACTCGGACCCTGAACCTTACCATTGCAACCCTTCGTGCCTCAAACCCCTACCCCTGCGCCAGCCCTTATTAGTGTTTAGGGTATGGGGGTTTGGTCGGTTTAGGGTTAGGCTTGGAGTCCCAAAGCTTAAGCCGTTCCCCATTGGACTCATATTTAAGGGTCTTGGGGCCCAACCCTAAACCCAAAACCCTAGACCCTAAGTCCGATAACCCTAAATCCTATACCCTAAAACCCTAAACAAAAGCCTTATTCAATAGGGTTTGTGAATGTGTGGGCTATGTTGAGCCTATGATAGCCTATGAATTCAGGATTCGGAGGGCCCAAGTACTCCTTCATAAGGGCCTGAGGACACTAAACCCTAAACCCTAAACCCTAAACCCTAAACCCTAAACCCTAAACCCTAAACCCTAAACCCTAAACCCTAAACCATCACCTACTGACCTGACCTAGCTTGTTCTTTGGACTCTGTTCCGAGGTGCGACGAAGAGAAAGCCATGGTTGTTGCGTAGACCTGGGCCGCTCGTGGTCAAGGGTCTTGGGGTTTGGGGTTTAGGGTTCCCTAAACCCTAAACCCGAAACCACAAACACCCTCCTGAAGAACCTCTTGGGGCACTCAGAGGTTCATGGGATGTCCATTTTTGGGTACCTATAACCCTACCTATAAGTACCCCTCAACCCTAAACCCTGAACCCTAAACCCTGAACCCTGAACCCTAAACCCTGAACCAAACCCTAAACCCTAAACTAAACCCCGAAACGTGCTTCTGTAGGGGCCGAATATAAAGGTGTAAGCCTTGGAGTAAAGGCTTGCTTGCATGCCTTCGACTACTTCGGTGCACCAGTCCCTAGGACTTTGTGTAGCACACCAGAATCAGAACCCTAGGGTCTGGGGGATCTGGGGTTTCGGCTTTAGGGCTTAGAGCGTTCACAGGGTTTATAGGGTTTAGGGCTGATAGCGTTCATATGCTATAGTGTTCATTAGGTTTATAGAGGTTTAGGGCTTATAGCGTCATGGGGTTTATATAGTTCAGGGCGTATAGGGATTGTAGGGTTTTGGGCTTGCGGTACGGCTTGTAGGGTTGAGGGTTCAGGGCTTATGGGGTTTGTAGGGTGTAATTCATTGTTTAGGGCTTGTAGTGTCTCAGGTCGAGAGTTTAGGACCCCCAATGGACCACAAAAGTGAACTGAAGCCTCGAACTAAGAAGTACGCAAGCCACTCTGCGTAAATGGGGGGGGGGGGTGGGCTCAAGGGCTCGACCTCAATCCATGCACAGAAGCAGCCTCACCCTGAAACTCAAGAGTTTGACATAGGGGTTTCGGGATTAGGGCTTACTGCCGCCATGAACCTCCTCAGCCCAGCCGAACGCTGTCACAATCCCTGTGGGCACACGAATATACGCCAATGCAACATGGTGACATGGGCAGCGTCCCTGATCTCTATAAACTCCGAGGAGGTTTCGGGCTCGGACCACTCCTCAAGATGATGCATGCCCCGGCAACAAGGCGTTTCCCTAACCCTCTCAAATCAACCCTAAACCCTAAACCCTAAACCCTAAACCCTAAACCCTACACCCTACACACTACACTCTAAACCCTAAACCCCAAACCCCTAAACCCTAAACCCTAATCATCTGGCAAGCTGCGCTCCGTCAACGGCGTGCCGTCGTAGGCATCGCAGCCGTCGGTGAAGCATCGGAAGATTGAAAACATAGCCGAGGGTACCTGTCTCTAGGCACCCCTAGTCTCCGCTTCTCAAGGCCTGAACTTAGGCTGCTCCCATGAAACATAGGAGCACCTGCAATGATCGTGCACCCTGAAGATATGTAAGCCTCATTAAATAAGGTGCTGCTGCGCAGATGAGGCCTAAACTTAAAACTCTGCTGTACGTAGCCAGGTTACACTTCATAGAGGAGCCCAGAACAGGCCATAAACCCTAAACAACAAAACCTAAACAACTAGAACCCAGGAGTAACCTAGCAATACATCGGTTACCCTTCTTGGGTTTAAGGGGGTTGTAAGGGAACCCCAACCAAACAAAAAGCACATAAGGGCCTACTCCGGGTCCTAGTTACCCTAAACCCTAAACCCTAAACCCTAAACCCTAAACCCTAAACAGGACATAAGGGCCTACTCCGGGTCCTAGACAACCTCAACCACGCGGTTCCCTGGCCCACTTGCTAGTTTCATGGCCCACTTCAACAGGTATGGATTCGAGACATGGGTCTGCCTCGAAGAATGCACAGCTGGAGCTGTAGGCTTTTTTTTTTCGGGGTAAAAGTTGGGATGTTCCTGCTTAGAACAGGGAGGGACTAGAATCCCTACTAAGGACTCAGGAATGTTTGTCAACCATATCCCTTTACAGCAAAGCCGAAACTGCGCAAAACTTAAACCCGAATGGCTCCGTGCTGTCAAGCGGCATCCCTAAACTCGGGCTCGTGTTGCCCGATCATGTTCTTGGCAGCTACGCCAGTCGTGTAGATGATGACCTGCTCTTGGATAAAGGGAAGTAAGGTTGGGGGTACTCATACACTAGACCCAAGAATATCTTAGGAGTAAGAACGGTTAAGGGATTATAAGGGAACCCCCACCCTAAAAACAAGGAAATGAGGGCCTACTCCGGGTACTACTCATACAAGTAGGGTGTAACCGTTGGGTACTGCAACTAGTTCGGACTTCATTTCAGGGGTACTCTAAAACCCTATCCTAAGCACCCCACATCCGCAAATAGCCCTAAACCCTAAACCCTAAAACCTAAATGGTTCGAGGGTTTTGGGGCGTCGGGTCTGCATCCAAGGCGCGATCAGCAGCACCATGGCCCAAAAGAGCACCCGCATACCGCTCACGACCTTGCGTCGGAGTTTAGAGTTTAGGGTTTAGGGTTGAGGGTTTAGGGTGGTAGGTAGCAGCCAGTTTTTGAAACTTGAGGTGGGGTCTTGAGGGGTTATGTTACTGCTGCACGTGCCACAGACATGGGCCCTTTTCCCTACTGGACCCTAAACCCGAAAAGCCCTGAACCCTTGCTAAACTGTCAGGTTCTTCGGCAGGTGCCTACTGTGCCAAAGGGCTCAATGTAGGCTCGTTCCAAAAACCGGAAGTAGTGCAAGTTGGGAACATGCAAGTTTTTGGGCCCTAAACCCTAAATACCCTAAACCTAAACCCTAAACCCTCAACCCTAAACCCTAAACCGCCTAGGCATCATCCACCAGGTGGCGCCCAGCACCATCATCTTCAGCTCGTAGAAGATCTCGAAGCGCAGTGTGCGAACCAATCGCACAAGTCTGGTCAGCCGGAGCATGCGGATGAACCTCAGTGCTTTGTAGGAGGTGCGGTTTAGGGTTTAGGGTTTAGGGTTTAGGGTTTAGGGTTTAGGGTTTATGTTTTAGGGTTTAGGGTTTAGGGTTTAGGCTTTGGGTTTGAAGGGTTGAAAGGGATAGGAAGGCTTCTTAAGCTTCAACTCATAGGCTTTTCTAGGGTTCCGGGATACAAGCCCTGAGCCCTAAACCCAGGAGGCACCTCTGAGTCGAGGAGGCTACGCCCGAAAGCCAGTAAAACCCTAGCAAATTCCGGAAACTCGGGTTTAGGGTTTAGGGTTTAGGGTTTAGGGTTTAGGGTTTAGGGTTTAGGGTTCAGGGTGAAAAAAAACCTGAAACAAAGGGGTTAAAGGGTCTAGGATCCTTCCAAGGTCCCAATTTTGAGCTCTTAGGTCTCGGGCTTCGGGTGTAGAGTTTCGGGCTTTGGGCTAGAAGACAAAACTTGGCTGCACTTAGTAGGGCTGCGATAAAATGAATTTAAAAGCTGGCTTATGAAGAAACTCAATAAGGCCTAAAAAGGCTAAGGATCTAGGGTTACAGGAAAGCACCACAGAGAAAATAATTGCCTCTAAATCCGACAGAGACCTGCAAACCTAGACCCTAAGCCTAAACACTGAAGCCCTAAACCCTAAACCCTAAACCCCAAACCCTAAACCCTCAGCCCTCCACCTTAATCTAGAGCCACCTTGGTGGTCTTCGGCAGGGTTTTTAGGGCTTTTGGGGGTTTACCTAAACCCTAACCCTAAACTGAACCCCAAACCGCTGAGCCCGCTGCACCATGGCGTTCAAGTCCAGCGGTTCGTCGCTGGCGCTGCTCATCGCCCGGACTATCCAGGTTGTCCTAATCCAGGCTCTCGTTGATTTCTGTCTTTTCGGGCGGGAGAGCGCTTTAGGGTTTAGGGCTTTAGGCTTAGGGCTTAGGGCTTAGGGCTTAGGGTTTAGGGTTTAGGGCTTAGGGCTTAGGCTTTAGGGTTTAGGGTTTATAGGGCTTTCGTAGGTTTAGGGCTCAAAACGAATCCCAACATCCTCTGTGCAGGTAAGGCGTCGATTCTTCAACCCAGGACAGTGCCACGCAGAAAAGGTCGAAGTAGTTCCAGGCCCAGTCCTCCCCGAGAAAGTACCACCTCCATCCAAACCTGGAGAGAAGGCTCAGGGTTGAGGGTTTAGGGTGGGGGGTTTAGGGTTTAGGGTTTAGGGATTGGGGGTTTAGGGTTTAGGATTTAGGGTTCAGGGTTTAGGGTTGGGGATGTTTCGTGCGAAAGTTGTGAGCGAAAGTGTTGTGCGAAAGCTTTGAGCGAAACTTCTGTGCGAAAGCTTTGTGCGAAAGACCTGTGCGGAAGCTTTGTGCGAATGTGTGGTGCGGAAGTTTTGAGCGGGAGTTTTGTGCGAAAGTGTTGAGCGGAAGTTTTGTACGAAAGTGTTGAGCGAAGACTTTGTGCCATTTTGCGCGAAAGTTTTGAGCGAAAGTTTCGTGCGAACATTCTGAGCAACAGTTTTGTGCGAAAGGTTTGAGCGAAAGCTTGGAGCGAAAGTTGTGTGCCAAAGCTTTGTGTCGGCGTTAAAGCTGAATTTTCGGGAGCAGGGCATTTCCTCCGGGTGGGAAGGTTGCAGAGGTTTATGTAAGTTGAGCATTTGGTCTCCCAGGCGCTTTGGATGAATTTATTGAAACTCTGCTTGTCAGCTGTTTAGAGCAAAAGCTTGGTAACTTCAGAATGATACCACATACAATTTCTAGTTATTTCGTCTTGAGGGTTTAGGGTTTAGGGCTGGATTTGCTGGGGCGGGAGCTCGGGACCTCGCAGTAGCCCTCACACACGTCGCCGTCCATCCGAAACACGGAAAACATCTGGATACCCTGACACCAGAGACCCTGCAGCACGAAAAAGCCCTGGTTCGTGTTTTGGCTTTGGAGGTTTTGGCTTGCTAGGAGAAGGAGTTCTAGAATCAGGTGCCGTTTATCCCTCCGGTGCCGAATTCCCAATGCTCTACGAAAGGACCCTAAACCCAAACCCCAAGCCCTAAACCCTGAACCCGGTAAGTTTGGGAGCTCGAAACCTCCCTGGAAGCTTGGCCGAACCAGGGATCAAGGAGCCACAGGAGGAGTCTCTAACCCTGCTTGGCCTTATTTCAGGAGTTGCCGGGGTTGCCCCTAAAAGAAGGATTTCGGGTCTATGGTTTAGGGTTCGGGGTACTCCCCCCGCTTCCTCAGTCTCCTCCTTCCCCTCCTCCCCCTCCTCTCCCTCCCCCCTCCCCACCCACTCCCCCTCTCCCCTTCTTCCACCCCTTCCCACCCTTCCGTACCATGCGCCATACTAACATCAAGAAAACCCGACAACAACCCTTAGCCCCCACCCCCCCATTTGGCTTGCCAAAGGACATGGCAAGCTTGACGATGAACTCCAAGGTATAGAAAGCCAGAAAGAACACATTAAAGACCTGCGCGCATGGACACTTGTGCTAGTAGACTGGGAGGATGATTTTGTACTTACAAGAAGGGTTCAGGGTTCAGGGTTTGGGGTTTTTGGGGCACTTCTAAGTAGGGTTATAAGCAGGGTAGCTGGTTCTAACCCTGACTCAGGGTACTTATAACCCTGCCCAAATCCATCGTTGGAGACATGCTTGAATCCGATGGCTGCCAGGTTGATGTTTGTTCTTACGCTTTCTTTCTTTAGGGGCCCGGGTTTAGGGTTTCAAGGGCTTAGGGGGTTCATGGCTTTTGCAAACTGTTTAAGGTCGAGGGCTTCTAGGGCTCAGGGTTGAGGGTGTTGTAAGGTAGGGTCAGGAACCCTAAACCCTAAACCCTAAACCCTAAACCCTAAACCCTAAACCCTAAACCCTGAACCCTGAACCCTGAACCCTGAACCCTGAACCCTAAACCTCCTAAACCGGTAGCTCTCAAGAGGGCCACCTCAGGCCAACCGCTTAGGTTCTCAAACCGGCTCCTGGCCTTGCAGCTAACCGAGAGTGCAACAGACATGGCACTGAAGGTTCTCAGCCCTTAGGTTTAGGGTTTAGGGTTTAGGGTTTAGGGTTTAGGGTTTAGGGTTGAGGGTTTAGGGTTTAGGGTTGAGGGTTCAGAGCTGAAAAACGACTTCTGGGTTGGTTCCTGACAACGGAATCTACACGTCTTCTCGGTGCCCTGTAAGAAATTATGGCCCCGCGCACCTTTAACAAAACATAGAAAGGCATCCATTAGCTTCCTATTCTGCCAAGAGCTGTTACGGTATTCAGAAAACGCGGAGCTCTGCAGATACTCCAAGATCACGAAGTCAAGGAATAGGTCTTATCATATAAACAGGCCTGCTGCAATATAAGTTTGATACTGGCGTCTCTGGGGGAGGCCCTCAGGCAAGAACCTAAAGCCAAAAGCCTAATATAGGGGCCTTAATAATTAGAATAGGGTTTTGGGTGGTCGTTGTAGTAGATATAAGTTATAAATATAAATATAAATATAACTATAAATATAAATATAAATATAAATAGAAAAATAAATATCAATAAATAAATAAATAAATATATATATATAGGAACCCTAAGGGAATATTAGTATTAGTACATATTCCGACCCCTATACTCAAGCCGCGCCTGCCAAACAACATGGTCCTCTGCGACGTCGCTGCTGATTCCGAGAACGATCGCATTGAGGACCTGGACTCGAAAAAGGCAGGCGGGGAGGGGGGGGGGAGAGAGGTTTTAGCTTTCTGGGTTCAGGGTTTAGGGTTTGGTTTAGGGGCTGTAGAGTTTAATCTGTCACAGAATCTGATTAACCCCCCCCCCATTAAAACAAAACAACTTAAACCCTAAACCATAAACCCAACAAAAGCAAAGGCAAGCACCAGAGGGCCCGAGGGGCGATCACGAAACCTTAAACCCTAAACCCTGAACCCCAAACCCTAAACCCTAAAACCCTAAAAACCCTAAAACCCTAAAACCCTAAAACCCTTAAAACCCTAAAACCCTAAAACCCTAAAACCCTAAACCCTAAACCCTAAACCCTAAACAAAAGCAAAGGGGCGATCACGATCCCTGGCAGCACGTCCACCATCACGGCCATGCTTCCCATGGGTCCCTGGATCTTCTTCGGCCCCTGGCTGCGGGTTTAGGGTTTAGGGTTTAGGGTTTAGGGTTTAGGGTTTAAGCTGTAGGGTTTAGGGTTTTAGGATTTAAGATATAAGGTTTAGGGAATAAGGATTTTCTTCGTCCCTGCTGCGGGCATTTGTGTAGGGTTTAGGGGTTTCGGAGTTTAGGGTTAAGGGTTTGGGGTTTAGGGTTTAGGGGTGTAGGGGTTTGGGGTTTAGGGTCCAGGAGTTTAGGCGGTAGGCGCTTAGGGGTCTCGGGCTCACCGGGTTAGATGTTAAGGGTTGGGCTCTTGGGTTTAGGGGTCTTAAGGGTCAGCGCTTTAGGGCGGATTCGGGGTTTAGGGTGGTGCGGGGTTCGGCCTACTGGTTTCAAGGGTTCGGAGTTCGGAGCCTTGACTTGAGGTTTTGGCCGCAACATAGGGCGTTGGTTTAAGCCTGTGAGCCCTAGACGCTAAACCCTAAGTGGTCGGCTGTACATTCACATATCCCCCTGGATGCCCTGCTTCCAAAACCCTAAACCCTAAAATCCCTAAACCCTAAACCCTAAACCCTAAACCCTAAACCCTAAACCCTAAAACCTAAACCCTAAACCCTAAACCCACCGCAAGGCCCTCAAAGATTGCGCCTGGGTCCAGTGGCCGTCGTCCTTGTAGAGATTGTAGTTGTTCTCTGCCTCTCAGGCACTTCTCTTGCAGGCGTGTGAGGCTGGCGTAGAGCTTTGGGGGAGTTGGTACACCCTGAATCTCAAACCTTAAACCGTTTTAAGAACCCAAACTCAAAATACTAGAAGAATAGGTCTTGTGGAGCCTTGGCTGAAGTTGCTTTCGCATTCTCGAGAACTCCTCCTAAACCTGCAGGTAGGAGTTCCAGCAATCAAAGGGAAGTGTACCACACTCAGAAGACGCTCTAAACCTAAACCCTAAACCCCAAACCCTAAACCCTAAACCCTAAACCTAAACCCTAAACCCTAAACCCCAAACCCTAAACCCTAAACCCTCAACAAAGGGAGTCAGGGTCTACTCTGGGTCCTAGGTGACTATGTATCTGCGGCCTGTAAAGCTTCCCGCAGGATTTTCACGTCTCGCTTCACGCTCCCCTTCCTGCAGCGTGGCCGTAGAAGAACAAGAGGGGTTTAGGGTTTAGGATGGGGAAATTGCACCTGAAATCCTAAGCCCTAAACCTACAAACCTACAGCCTGAACCTGACGCGAACAAACTCTGCAGAGGGTTCATGCCCACAACACCCAAAACGGTGTAGGGTTCAGGGCTTAAGGGTCTTGGGCCCTTTTTGCGTGCGTAGGGTTAGGGCTGATAAGGATTTGGGGGGCCGGGCTAAACCCTAAAACCCTAAACCCTAAACCCTAGACCCTAAACCCTAAACCCTAAACCCTAAACCCTAAACCCTGGGACCGGAGTCTCACAAGAAGTGCACAGGCTTACTTGGTTGAGCTGGTGGGCCTGAAGTCATGATTCTATCGGAAGTGATTACGGGCCTTGTGGTCCCTTACCTCCTTTTAGAGGTTCTGAAGTATGGGCCCTTGGGTTGTCTAGGGTATATCAGGCGTATCTAAGGGGTCCCCATGTAAGGGCCCACACTAAGGGATGCCACGAAGTCCGGAAACGATCTTGAAACCCTAGGAGCCGTCAACACGAAAACCCTCAAACCCGACGCCCGAAATCCAAACCCTACATCTTCTAACCCTAGACCCCAAAGCCAAAGGCCTAAACCTATAAACTCTAGCTTTACCCTAAACTCTCAGGGTTCTTGATCCCTGAACCCTACCCCAAAAAAAAGAAACTTGCAAGAGTATCCGGAGTCTAGGATGGCCACAAAACCCTCCGAACATTGTTTCTGACTATGATCCTCTTAAGCCCAACAAGGACTAAATCCACTGGATTCTAATCTCGGTTCCGGGCTTCTAGGCTTAGGGCCTTACGAGTTTAGGGGTTTAGGGCTCTAGGGGTTTCGGGTTTAGGGTTTGGGGTTTAGGGTTTACGATTTAGGGCGAATAAAATTATCCCGAGAGCCGACCTGGTGAGCTTCCGAGCTGCACATGTTGGTGGTCGATGAGCTCCCCGTCCACAAGCTCCGGGTCAGAGAGCAGCGCCTTGGCAGGCACTCAATCACTTAGCTGGTTGATGAACACCCCGAACCCTAAACCCTAAACCCTAAACCCTACCTTCCCACCCCCTGGTTGTTACCTTTAAGGTAACAAGGGCGACCCAAAATCTCGGCCGAAACCCTCACGCGCGTCACTCACTGAGCTTCACGGGAGGATAGGCTGGGCTTTGGGGGTGTTCGGTTAGGGCTTTTTGGGTTTGGGGTTTGGGGTTTGGGGTTTAGGGTGTAGGGTTTAGGGTTTAGGGTTTAGGGCTAGGGTTTAGGGTTCAGGGTTTTAGGGTCTTAGGGTTTAGGGTATAGCCCTGACATGCATCCTTTGGGGCTAAGGGCCGCTTAGGGGTTTAGGGTTGGGATGTTCCCCTTATACTAACAGTCCTTGGGTTTAGGGTTTAGGGTTTAGGGTTTAGGGTTTAGGGTTTAGGGTTTAGGGTTTAGGGTTTAGGGTTTAGGGTTTAGGGTTTAGGGTTTAGGGTTTAGGGTTTAGGGTTTAGGGCTTGATAGGGAGTACAATATCCCTGCTATTGTAATCCCTATTGCGGCGTGCTAGTTTTAAGGGGGATTATCCCAAGTGGTGTAGGGTTTTAGGTTTTTTTCTGGTCACGTTGAAGAGAAAACATGACAGGAGGGGGGGGGGGGGGCTCTGGGTTGGGTTGAGGTTCGAGGGTTAAGGGTTTAGTCCTCCTTAGGTCTCTAGGGCTTGCGTAGACCCAAAAGAAACCCAGAAAAAAAGGGTGCCCTTTTTGGTTTAAAAGGGGCTTGTAAGGGAGCCCAAGCCCTAAAAAAAGGGACAAGGGCCTGCTCTGGGTCCTAGTTGCCCTAAACCCGAAACCCTAAACCGTCAAAGAAGGGGAATAAGAGCCCACTCTGGGTCCTGGCATTTGGGGCAAGCAGGCCCTTGCAACAGAAATCTGGCACGGTTCCAGCTCTGAGAGGTTGGAAGGGCTTGGAGTGTAGGAAGCCGTAAACCCTAAACCCTAAACCCTAAACCCTAAACCCTAAATCCTTAAACTTTACACCCAAAACCCCGAAACTCTGGACACTAGACTTCCCAAAGCCCCGAACCTCCGGTAACCCTTACCGACACCCTGAATACCCCCTGAATGGATGAATGGAATGGGACTTTTTCAGGCACAGCAGTCACTGCAATCCGGTATGCCTGCACACAAATGCCTCTTGAACGACAACTCTGCTCCCCGTCTCCAGGCCACCGTGGCAAGATCTTCTGATGCAACGTCTGGGTGTGCGCCAGTTTTCCTGATCCTTATCCAAACGAGGCGCAATGAACACAGACTGCCGACCAAGCTGCTGAGGCTATTCCGGACAGGTTGTATGTCCCTTTCTCGCAAGTGTCGGGGAGGATCCCAAAAAAGCTTCGTCAGCGAGGACCGCTGCAAGGTGTCCAGGAACTGCTGCACGTGCCGGGCTGTCAGTTTCTTGGGGAATGACAGGCGGGTGTGCTGGAGGTATAACCCAGAAACGCGACCGTGACAAACTTGCTCCGCAAGCGAGCAAAGCTCTGCGCCGGGAAATGAAGCTGACAGCGAGAGCATGCAGCATCCCACAGGCCATCGGATCTTGGAAAGGGCTTTGGGCAAGTCGTCGTCGAGACAGTCAGCAGAAATGTGCACGTGCCTTAGGGGAAATGCGTCCAGGCACCGCTGCAGAGATGGCGCACATCCTCTACGCCGTATAGCATCTGAAACCTTACCTGGTGCAAGCGACGCAGTGATGTGGAACAGTCAGCGAGGCGTTCGAGAAGTGAAACTTCCGAGCAACCTGATGTCTCATGGATTGGCAGGCTCAGTTCGAGAAGATTGCTGAAGGTCGGCAAGACCTTGACCGCTGGTTCCGGGCAGCCCCCAAGAAAGTGTAAGGCCTCAAGCGCCCGGCAATGACGCTGCAGATTGCGCAAGACAGCGATCCATTTGGCGGAATGCACCCAGTCCTCGTGCCATGCACTAATGCTCAGCGTATGAAGCTTTACGAACGGACCCAAGAGCCAGCCCAAGCACAGTGTGAAGTGATCTCGGTCAGAAGGCGTGTTCGGATTGCCGAGCATTGAGAAGGAGGGCCCTTATACAACCCTCTGAAGAGAATTTCGGGTTTAGGGTTTAGGGTTTAGGGTATAATCCCGAGAATATGGCCTCTTAAACCCCATAGAGGGGAAACACAGAACACGTCCCAAGGGCCTACCGAGCATCCTCAGCCTTAGGATCACAATCGACTTTGACGATGGGCACAACAAGCAAGCCGTTTGGAGAAACGCACCACCTCCTCACAGAACGGTTCGACATACTTGCAGCGGCAATGGTGAAGGGATCCAACACAGGTGCCATCTGCTTCCAGACAAACTTCATCTCCAACGCCATCGCAAGCACTTTGGGAGAATGTACGGGGCTTTGCCGCCTGGTACTCTTTTTGGGGTTAAGGACTCTCGTCTTTTGGGGGAATGGAAAAGGGGTAACTACCCTATTTCCTATTTCGGGAGTATTCATAACGGAGCACGGTTGTTCTCAGAGTTCTCACAGCTGCACTGGAGGCCATTCGGGGGCTTGGTTTAGGGTTTAGGGTTTAGGGTTTAGGGTTTAGGGTTTAGGGTTTAGGGTTTAGGGTTTAGGGTTTAGGGTTTAGGGTTTAGGGTTTAGGGTTTAGGGTTTAGGGTTTAGGGTTGGAGGCATCGGGTTTTCGGGTTTAGGGCTTCTTAGAGGCTTGGAATGTTCAAAGTTTAGTGGCCTGCGGGACTTGGCGTTGCTCTTTTCAGGCTGAAGTCGCTAAACCCCTAAACCCTAAACCCTAAACCCTAAACCCTAAACCCTAAACCCTAAACCCTAAACCCTAAACCCTAAACCCTAAACCCTACAAAACGGGTTGGGTTAACCGCGTGGACTGACCAGAAACACTGAGCCAGGCTCAGGGGACACCACGCGTTTGGCACAGCAGCCTGATCCCGAAACCCTATAACAGGCTTAGGCACAAAGACCCGAAATCCTAAACGGAAATAACTCTAACACCCCAACCACCCCAAAACCTAAAGCCCTCTCCGCTACGTGCAAGGCCGAACCCAAACCCTTGCAGACTTAGTCCCAGAGTAACCGAAGAAAATCTGTACTTTGTTTGAGCTTGTCAAGGGAATCCTAAACCCTAAACCCTAAACCCTGAACCCTGAACCCTAAACCCTAAACCCTAAACCCTATATAATCCCTAAACACCCAACAAAAGCGGAGTAAGGCCAACTCCTTCGCCTCAGCTGTGGTGGAGGTTTAGGGTTGCCAGAATGAAGCTACTGGGCGATACTTCTTGGGGTGGAGGCGCTGGGGTGTCTCCAACGTCCTTGAAGCAAGAGAGTTAAGGCCATGACGAGTTGTCAGCCCTGAACCCTGAACCTTAAACCCTAAACCCTAAACCCTTGACCCTAAACCCTAAACCCTTGACCCTAAACCCTAAACCTTATAAACCCTAAATCGTATAAACCCTGAACCCTAAATCCTAAACCCTAAACCCTAAACCCCAAACCCTAAACCTCAAACCCTAAACCCTAAACCCCAAAAAGGGGACGCCATGCCAAGGCGCTATAAAGCCCTCAAAGTCCATCGACTCGTGGTAGGACCTTCCGAGGCACACGCCGCAGCAAGGGTTTAGGGTTTAGGCTTTAGGGTTTAGGGTTTAGGGTTTAGGGTTTAGGGTTTAGGGTATAGGGTTTAGGGTTTAGGGTGTAGGGTGTAGGGGGGAGGGTCTAGGGTTTCGGCTTTAGGCTTGAGGGTTTTGTGTTTATTAGGGTTGCCGTTGAAGCATGCTCTTTCTAGTCCAAAGTCTAGGGTACTAACTTAGGAGGGCACCAAAGAGATTTTAGGAAGTTTAGGAAGTTAAGGGAGTTTAGGGTTTAGGGAGTTTAGGGAGATTAGGGAGTTCAGGGAATTCAGGGAGTTTTTGGAGTTTAGGGAGTTTAGGGCGTTTACGGGGTTTAGGGGTTGAGGGTTTGCGTTTTGTTTCGGTGGTTTATGGTGGTGGCTGGGCCTTTCGGCTTAGGACTGGGTGTAAGCCTCATAAACCCTATAAACGCCTAGGACCCTAAAACCTACAAACCCCATACACCCTGCAAAGCCCAAACCCTAATTAAAACCCAAACCCTCCCAACCCTCTAATACCTATAAAACCCGAACCCTGAACCCTAACCCCTAACCCTAAACCCCTAGACCCTAAACCCTAAACCCTAACCCCTAGCCCCTAAACCCTAAACCCAAACCCTGAGCCCTAAACCCCCCCCCTAGACCTAAGACCAAGCCGAGATCCGGGCTTGACACCCGACACGGTAGGGGAGCTCCGTGCGTGGCCAAGAGCCTGCCGGTGGTGGAGCCTGCGCTAGGGTTAGGGTTTAGGGTTTAGGGTTTGGGGTTTAAGGTTTAAGGTTTAGGGTTTAGGGTTTAGGGTTTAGGGTTTAGGGTTTAGGGTTTAGGGGTTAAGGTTTAGGGTTTAGGGTTTAGGGTTTAGTGTTTGGGGTTTCGGGTTTAGGGCTTAGGGAAGTTAGGGCTTAGGGAAGTTTAGGTTTAAGGAAGTTTAGGGTTTAGGGTTTAGGGTTTCGGGTTTCGGTTTTAGGGTTTAGGGTCAGGGCCACGAGGGCGAGTTACGTGGACTAGGGCTTTTGGGGAACTTCAGAATGGCCACATACAACTTCGGGTTTCTTGTCGTGAGGGTTTGGGGTTTGGGGTTTAGGGGTTTACCCCCACCCAACCTCGAAGCTTCTCTCGAAACCTGAAGAGCATCAACTCCTGAAGTCGTACATCCTACCTTTCAACCCTGAAGCCCGAAGCCCTCAACTCTACGTGAAGGTTCACGGGTACCTACGTGAAGCTTCATGGGTACGTGTATAAGTAGGGCTATAAGTATACAAGAGAAGTGCATAGCCTATTGTAAGATAAGCCCTATATCCCGAACCCTAATTCCGACTTAGACCTTCGTCCCCTGAACCCTCAACCCTGAAACCCTCAAACCCAAAACCCTAAACCCTAAGCCCTAAGCCCTAAACCCTAGATCCTAAACCCAAAACCCTAAACCCCAAACCCTAGCCCCCCAAGTCCGAAGTCTGTGCCAACTAGGGGTGGCGCCTTAATGCTCCAAATACTGATCTTCGTAATGTAGGATCCCCCCCAAAATAAATATACATGTATATATACATGTATACACACAACAAGAAAAATAATAGAAAAAAGTGCAAACCCCAAACCTCTTGTGAACCCGAGCCCTCGAGCCAACAAAAACTCTTCTGAAGCCCATGATTTCCGAAACCCTCTGCCCTACTTGGGAGTAAACCCTGGAAACATGTATATACTTCTAGGTATAAGTAGCTATACTAGAAACCCAGAAACAAAATAAAGTATTTAAAGTATAGTACTCCAAAGCCCCGTATTTACAGCCCAGAGCTACCCAAGCTAAAGGGCTGAAACTCGAATCCCGAGACCAACGCGGTACCCTATGTAAACCCTTGAAGGGGGATATGCAGGTGCAGGGTTTAGGGGTCCGGGATAACATTCGAGGTGCCGTATTCGCCCCCTAAACCCTAAACCCTAAAGCCTAAACCCTAAACCCTAAACCCTAAAGTCCCTTGGGCCCGCCATGCCTGCCAACCTCGTGGATCACGGCAGCCAGATCTTCTAGCTCCCAGCCGGGGTTGAAGGACTGCATGACCTGGGGGGCTTTTGCGAGTTCGGACATAGGGGATGAGGGTTTAGGCTTCAAGTTTAGGTTTTAGGGTTTAGGGTTTAGGTTTTAGGATTTAGGGTTGAGGGTTTAGTGTTGGACTTCCTAGTTCTTCATAGGGCTTTAAGAGTTCAGGTTCAGGGTTTAGGGTTTAACTTGCTAGTTCCCTAAACCCTAAACCCTAAACCCTAAACCCTAAACCCTAAACCCTTATCATCGGGGGGCCGGGGGGGGGGGGGGGGGCAGTTAGGGTATCTTAAAGATGAGGTCAGACAAGGAGCTGGAAGGGCATCCGGCTTAAGGTCTATGGTCTCGGTAGGGGAATAGGAGTTTGGGATGTAGTGGTTTAGGGTGCACGGTTTTGGGTTTGGGGATTTCGGGCTTTAGGGTGTAAGGGTTTAGAGGTTTACAGATTCGGGTACCCTCCTCAGACGGGGACAACGCAGGAACCAGACACAAAGCAACGAACACATCACGAAACCAGAGACCCCGAAACCCTCCTAAAGCAGCGGAGGCTGGAACCCCCTAAGGGTTTAGGGTTTAGGGTTTAGGGTTTAGGGACAATCCTAAGAATGAAGGGCCAAGAAATGGCCAAGAGTGTATTGTTCGTAGGGTTTAGGGTTGAAAGGTTAGGGTGTAGTAGCCCTAAACCAGCCAAGAAACTGACACCGGTTTAGCCCGGACATTTCAAAATCAAGAAGCCCCCCCCCCCACCCCCCACCCCCCCCCCCAAAAAAAAAAAAAAAAACAAAAACTGAATAAAATCAATATAAACAAATAAATAACTACATGTAAATATACATTTATATATATATATACAGATTCCGTATATAGTCCCTATACACCTAAGTAGCCC